GATTCGAACCCGCCACCTTAGGTGTACGTGGCTGGCGCCTTAGCCGCTTGAGCCACAGGCCCCGAGCCACTTCATGTTTATTTCTAAAGTTTCATGACTAACCTGTAATGAAAACAGCAGACTTAGGCTTTAACATCGTCTGATCATTCCTTACACAAAAATCTAGCTTAACTATTGCCCTTTATAAATCATTTTGGGCCTACCACTTTCTTCCTATTACTTCCTGCAAAGATATCCTTGGCTCCATTTTAGTTCATGTAAAAGTTAGTACACAAGCTGCTATTTGGCAGTTTTCAAAGAAGGAATATTTTTCACATTTTTATGTAACAACCACTGATGAATAAATAATAAAGCAGCAAACCTCACTGAATTATGAAGACATGCTCTGAGAAATGCATTGTTAGGTGATTTCTCTGTTGTTAGAACTTAGATGGTATAACCTGCTATACACTTAGGCCATGTGGGATAGCAGTGCTCTGAGGATGCAAACCAGAACATCACTTTACTATACTGATTACTGTAGGCAACTGTAACAATGGTACCTATTTGTGCACCTAAATATATCTCGACATACAGAAGGCAAAGTAAAACTACAGTATTAAAATCTCATGGGATCACCACCAGGGTGGCCAACAACATGTGGTTTGCTGTTCACTGAAATACCATTATGCGTCACTACATTTTTGGCTTACAGAGAACCCATCAAGAAGCCTCTGACAGCAGTAAGTAAACAATCATCAAATAAGATATTTTGGTGGATGATGGTTTCAATACTTTTTGATATTGAATGGAATCTTGGTACCTTGTTTTTAATCCACAGAAATCTACAAGGGAATTTTTAATATTTTACAGTATGGTTTTACCATGTTTGTTTCTTATTTTCCTACTTTCTTAATATTTTCATTCAACATGGCTACTACTATGGGGTGGCAAGAAAAATAACAGACAACTTTTACTGGTCTACTGCCACTTTTAACATTTACTATACGTGAATGTTATATAATGAGGAATGTAGTCAAGAGTCTGTTCGAAATTACATATTAACTGATAATGAGTTAATTAAGGTAATTGTTTTAACCATTTTTCCCATCTTGACAATATTCTGAATGACCATGGGCTGCTAATTAGAAGGTGCAATGCACATCTAACAGAAATGTACATATTAGACCTATATAAAAATTATGCTTATAAAGACATAAAGAAGAAAGCAATAGCTATAATCTTCTCTTTAGAGACAAGGTCTCTCTGCAGGCTATAGTGCAGTGGCATCATCATAGTTCACTTCAACCTCGAACTCCTGGGCTGAAGTGATCCTCTCCTCTCAGTCTCCCAAGTAGCAGAACCATACTTGGCCATTTTTTTTTTCTGTATTTTGTAAAGACAGTCTTGCTATGTTGCTCAGGCTGGTCTCCACCTCCTGGCCTCCAAGAATCCTCCCACTTCAGCATCCCAAAGTGCTAGGACTATAGGTGTGAGCTATCGCACCCAGGTAACAGTTGCAACTCTAAAAAAGCTTTAGTAAGAACATAACATTTGGTCCAAGGCAAGAGAACCAGGGCAGCATAATAATCTATCCCTACTTTGGTTAGGAAACCGAATCAGTAAAGACAGACAACAACAGGTAAATGGCGAGCATGCCTCCAGGGTTGCTCACTTTCTCCACTCCAGCTAGTGCTTCCTGTAGGTTAAACCTGGGCCTACAGGGCTGGGCATGGTGGCTCACGCCTGTAATCCTAGCACTCTGGGAGGCCGAGGTGGGTGGATTGCCCTGAGCAAGAGCGAGACCCAGTCTCTAAAAAAAAATAGCTGTGTGTTGTGGTGGGGACCTGTAGTCCCACCTACTTGGGAGGCTAGGGCAAGAGAACTGCCTGAGCCCAAGAATTTGAGGTTGCTGTGAGCTGTGATGCCACCGCACTCTGACAAAGTAAAACTGTCTCAAAAAAACAAAACAAAAACAAAAACAAAAAACCTAGGCCTATACTCTGACAAAGATGAAACAACTTATAGGCATCCCTGGCTGTTTTTTTAAAGAAAGAAAATAAATGAAGCTTAGAGGGAGAAAGAAGTGTTTTAAAAAAATATGAGTGAAAACAGACCTCACTCCATTAATCCAAGTGTGAAAAATAGACCTCTAACATGAAAGAATAATTCTTATATTAAATTGCTACTTTTATACTTGCTCTTGTTCTTTTTACTTACTGTAAGTGGTCTATTAGCCTGGCACTGCGCTTCCCAAAACAGTGCTTTAACATGTGAAAAAATACGTCATAGTTAACAGGCGTTAAGTTTTCTGTAAATAAATTCTTACGAGGAGTCATTTGAATAAGATATAGGTTTTGTTGATCTAATGATTCCTGGAGAGAAGAGAAAGTAAAATGTGTTAGTCACAAAATATTGCCAGAGTAAGACACTGTTCAGATATTTTTTCAAGCTACTTGTTGAAAGATACAATCCCCATAGGGCCTGAGTGTTTCCAGATTTTCCATTGAACTTTCCAAGAATGCAAAAACTTAACTCCTCTTTACCTGAGCCATTTCTCAGACTTGTCTACAGCCTTTAGGTAGGAGATCATGTCTCTCTCCAGGAAAAAAAACCGGCTTGCTTAATGTTTGCTATAAGAGAGGTAGATTCCCACGGCTGTGTTCCTCAGCTACAGTGCAAACCACTGGCTGCACGCAAGGAAGTGAACCATATCACACTGTTCCACGGGAAGGGGGCCACGCAAGTCCTTAGTCTGATCCAGGAGTCTGAGTGTTTGGGCAGCATCCAAGAAATAATAACAGCTTACTAACTTGTAAGTAGGGCAAAAGCAAATCCCAAGTGTGACATTAACTTGTACTGCTTCCCTGCTATACTCAAGGCACATCACCACCAGACCCTAAAGATAAAAAAAAGTATTGACTTAAAACTTTTAATTGGATATTTATAAAGTAGTAAGTCACAAACAACTTGGATAAAAGTGAAGATGATATGCTCTGAAAAAAAATACTTTAGAGCTTCTATAGCAATTCAAAGTGCTTCTATGGCAATGACGAACACACTGATATCAACGACACATGTGAAATATCGAAATAAAATTCTCTCATGAAACACTACATTTGACTATTTCATCTCTATCCCTAAAAGTACATATATTTAAGTTGGCCGAAAACTTTTAAGCTTCTGATCTTCTAATCCAAAAGTTGAGTATAAATGTCTTAACACAATAATTAAGTAAACGAGATGAGGTTTATAGTAACCAGTGTGATGTAAATGTTCCTAATTCTATATGAAATCAGCACATTGTACCCCATACATGCATTAATGTATACATGATCTATGCATTTATGATTTAACAAAAAAAGAAGGAAAAAATAAAAAGCTGACTTATATATCAGACTGTTCACTTTTGGAGTATTTGGATTAGTGTCTAATTGTATGCAAGGCAAACTGTAGTACACCTATTTTTTGAGACTATTCAGGGTGGCCGTAAAGTTCATGCGCAATTTAAAAGTAAATTACACACATAAATAGTCAAACATTAACTAAAACCACAACGACTGATCATTCTAAAATAAGATCACTGAAAGAAATTGATATGTTTCTCCCCTTTAGTGACAAAAGCAAGAAAAACACAAAGCAAAGAGGATCTTCTGACTGAGCTGATATGCGGAGATTAAGCCATCTGCAAAATTTAAGATAGAGGACCACATTACAACATCACTTTGGTTTAGATAGAAAGGTAAAAAAAACAGAGAAACACAAATAAAAGGCCCAATTTCCAGGTAAGAATCAAGCACCTACAGCTGAGTTGAACCACACAATAAAATGAGCAATTTTACACATTTCTGATTGATTAATATGTTATAAATTTTTTTTTTGCATTTTACTCTGTTGCCCCAGGCTAGAATGCTGTAGCGGCATAGCTCACAGCAACCTCAAACTAACCGACTCAGGTGATCCTCTTGCTTTTCAGCCTCCCAAGTAGTGGGCACCACAGGCGCCCACCACAATGCCCAACTAGTTTTTCTACTTTTAGAAGATACAAGGTCTTGCTCTTGGCTCAAGACAACCTTGAACTTCTGCACCCAAGCACTCCATCTGCTTCCGCCTCCCAGAGTGCTAGGACTACAGGTGTACACACCATTGTGCCTGGCCATAAAATCTTGACTTTGGTTTATCAAGCTTGATGAATATTAAGGTAGCTTTATTTTCCAAACTTGAGATGTATCTTCATTTCAACAGAGTTTTAAAAAAGATTCTTTAAGCCTACTACTATGCCAGCATCCACTGTATTAATGAATAGCTAATAAATACAACTCTCTTCCAAACTAATTTCAATTTATTAACAGTAATAGCTTCTCAGTCTTTTGGCTAACATCAAATGTATTAATGGTAAGATATGTTTAAAGAACATTTCTAGTTATTCTAGAATTAAAAACTCAAAAATAAAGAATACCAGATAATTGGGTGGTGCCCATAGCTCAGTGGGTAGGGTGCTGGCCACATACACCCAGGCTGGGGGGTTCGAACCCAACCCGGGCCGCTAAAACAACAATGGCAACAACAACAAAAAAATTAGTAGTGGGAGCCTGTAGTCCCAGCTACTTAGGAGGCTGAGGCAAGAGAATCACTTAAGCCCAAAAGTTTGAGGTTGCTGTGAGCTATGAGGCCATAGCACTCCACTCAGGGGGCAACAGCTTGAGACTCTGTCTCAAGAGAAAAAAAAGAAAAACACGAATGCTAGATAATCCTTAAAAAATGTGAACATTCCATTTAAGGGAAAATGAGAAAGCTATTCAATTATTCTTTTTTTAGTAATTATCTTATTTCTTCCATCCTTTTTTTTTTTTAAAGTTTTTGGCCAGGGCTGGGTTTGAACCCGCCACCTCCAGCATACAGGACTGGCGCCCTACCCTTTTCAGCCACAGGTGCCACCCTATTCAATTATTCTTACCTTACGCTTTAACTTTCGCAGTTCCCCGTTTGAATTATATATATTGAATGATGACCAAGGCTCCTTGGGAAGAAAAACAAAAACAAAACATTTATTTTTACTGCTTTTTGGGCAAAGTGCCCCAAATTATGAATGCAAACAAACAAAACAAAACAAAACTTGCCTAAATAAGAAAATGAGAGGCTGGGCCTGTAATGCTAGCACTCTGGGAAGCCAAGGCAGGTCAACTGCTTAAGCTCACAAGCTTGAGGCTGGCCTGAGTTATAGCAAAACTGTCTCTACCAAAAATAGAAAAACTAGGGGGCATAGTGTCCCATGCCTATAGTTCCAGCTACTCAGGAGGCTGAGGTAAGAGAATTGCTTGAGCCCATGAGTTTGAGGGTGCTGTGAGCTATGACGCCAGGGCACTCTACTGAGGTTGACAAAAAAAAAAAAAGAGGATCGCTTCAGCCCAAGACTTTGAACAGGTTGCTGTGAGCAATGATGCCATGGAACTCTATGAAGGTCAATAAAATAAAACTAGCTCAAAATAAATGAATAAACAAAAAGAAAAAAATAAAAACTTGAGAAGAAATATTCAACATCAAGGAAAAAAGCTTACAATTAACTATTAGCTATTAGGTTTAATAAAAAATAAGATAAAAAACATTATCACCTCCACTATGTAAAGAAAAAGAAAATCAGGGGTGGCGCCTGTGGCTCAGTGAGTAGGGTGCCAGCCCCATATACCAAGGGTGGCGGGTTCAAATCTGGCCCCAGCCAAACTGCAACAAAAAAATAGCCAGGCACTGCAGTGGGCGCCTGTAGTCCCAGCTACCTGGGGGGACTGAGGCATGAGAATTGCCTAAGCCCAGGAGTTGGAAGTTGCTGTGAGCTGTGACCTCACGGCACTCTATGATAAAGTGAGACTCTGTCTCTAAAAAAAAAAAAAAAGTATGACACAAATGTTATTAACAGTGACCTCTGGGGGATAGAACTGCAGTGGTGATTTTTTTAAAAAACACCTTTCTTTCCTTTTAAAAAAAACCAAAAACACATTTCATGTTTTTATAGAGTGAATACGTATTATTTTCATAACAAGGGGAATATACAAATATTTGTGACCAAAAAAATGTATCACCACAAATTTACTTTGTTGTATTACTTCAACATTTGAGAAAATAATAAAATCAATCTTGAAATTATCTCCATTTACTAGCCTATTTGAAGTATTTCAAAACTTTGAAGTTCTTTCTAGAAGCTTGTTACTTACCGTGTGCAGAAGCTTAATCTCACAAGCTACTTGCCAGAGCACACTCCATGCTTGATACAAGTTGGAGTCGCTAGGAGTAGCCACTAGTCTCTAGCAAAAGGAAAATAAAAATTACACATTACAAACACTTATAATTGATCAAAATGAAATGTTGGATCTTAGCACTAGATATCTTAATTTAGTAAATTTAAGTAAAGACAGTTAGAATTAGCTACAAAACTGGTGACATAGTGGCACGTGCCTGTATTCTTTGCTACTCTGGAAGCTGAGGTGGGAGGAATGCTAGAGGCCAGAAGTTTAAGATCAATCTGGGCAATGAAGTGAGACCACATCTCAAAACACACAAAAAAGAATTAAATGCCAAATCTAAACCATTTTAAAGAGTCTTCTTAAAGTTTCATATTGAAAACATATCATCAGGTACACTTAAAATGTAACGTATTTGAGACTGGTTTCTTTTAATCGTATGGTCTATCAGGGTAAAATCTCATTAGAGAAAAAGTGAAACCAAAATATATATGAGGATGAATACAGCAGCTCATGCCTGTAATCCTAGCAATTTATTCCATTTATTTATTTTTGAGACTGTCTCACTTTGTCACCCTTCATCGAGTGCCATGGCGACTGCAGCTCAAGCAAACCTCTTGCCTTGACCTCCTCAGTAGCTGGAACTACAGGCACCTGCCACCATACTCAACTATTTTTTGTCATTTTTAAGAGATGGGGGCCTAGCTGCTGCTCAGGTCTCCAACTTGTGAGCTCAAGCAATCCATGTGCCTCGGCCTCCTACAGTCCTAGCACTTTAGAAAGCCAAAGTGGGAGAGGTTTGCTTGAGGTCAGGAAGTTTCAGAACAGCTTGAGAAAGAGGGAAGATGCTCCTGCCGAAAACAGAAAAAGTTAGGAAGGTATGGTGGTCAGCGTGCCTGCAGTCCCAGCTACCTACTCAGGAGGCTGAGGCAGGAGGCTGCTGTGAAGTAGGCTGACCCACAGCACTCTCGCCTGGGGCAACAGAGTAAAAAGAAAAACAATTTTGTTACGGCTAAATGAAGGACCCAATGATACCTCAGGGAATGACAGAGACTAAAGACAGAAGAAAACACATGTGCAAAGGTCCACAGCAAAAGAAGCAGGACCCATTAGAACATTATCCTCATAGGAAGATAAAATCTGATGAAGCATCTCCCATGTTTCTTCCTGCTTCCTTATATGCTTTTTTCACATACTGCACGTACAGCCTCCTGACGGTTCCGAGCCTCCTGCTATCTTTCCATGGCTAGTCAGTATTGACTTACCATCTGGGGCTGGGTGAGCAAACCATCCCTTCCATTTCTTGCCCTTCCTGTTATATTGGATTAACAGACTAGTAACAGGAAATATTCTGGGCAGAAAAATTATTCTTACACCAAGATTGAGGCCATCAGGAGGTCCTTCCGTTACAGAGAATAAAAGGTAGAGTCTAAAACCTCAACTATTCCACAAAAAAAATCCTCTCTTACAACAAGCAAATCTAGCAAAGTTGCAGAACACAAAATAAACACACAAAAATCAGTTGTATTTTTATACACTAGCAACAGACAAGTAGAAAAGGAAATTACAACAATTGCATTTACAATAGCGTCAAAATAATAAACAAAACTAAATTAACTTCACCAAGAGGTGAAAGACTTGTACACTAAAAACTATGAAGCACTACTAAAAGAAATTAAAGACACAAATAAATGGAAAGACATCCTGTGTTCATGGATTGCTAATACTGTCTTTGTTTTTTGAGTCTGAGACAGTCTCACCTCTTTACCCAGGCTAGGGTGCTGTGACGTCAGCCTAACTCACAGCAACCTCAAACTTCTACATTCAAGTGACCTCCTGCCTCAGCCTCCCAAGTAGCTGGGACTACAGACACCTGTTACAATGCCCACCTAATTTTTTCATTTTTAGTAGTAATGGGGTCTCACTCTTGCTCCAGCTGGTCTAGAACTCCTGAGTTCAAGGGATTCCCCCCACTTTGGCCTCCCCAAGTGCCAGGATTACAGGTGTGAGGCACAGCTTGGTAATACTGTTAAGATGTCAACACTACGCAGAGTGATCTACAGATTCAGTGCAATCCCTATGAAAATCCTAGGTTATGATGTTTGTGTTTGTTAGGTAAGGTCCCTGTTGTATTTGTGTCCTACACCCAGGAGGTGTGCCATATACCCCTACGCTGTGCCCATTAGATGGGGGCATACCAACCCCGTCAGTCCTCCCCTCTCCTCCTAACTTGAATTGAGTTTTTCTCTTTTCAGAGTGTGTGTTAGTTTGTCTACTGGCTTCATATTAGTTTTTAGAACACTGGATACTTGCTTTTTCATTCTTGTGATATTTTACTAAAGAGAATGTTCTTCAATTCTGTCCAAGTTATTACACAAGATATAGTCTCTATCTTTTTTATGGCTGAATAGTATTTCATGGTATACATATGCCTTAATTTATTAATCCATTCATGGGTTGATGGGCACTTGGGTGGTTTCTACATCTTGGTGATTATAAATTGAGCTGTAATAAACAATCTAATGAAAATGTTCTTATGATAAAATGATCTTTTTCTCTTCTAGGTAGATGCCTAGTAATGGGACTAGGGGATCAAATGGAAGGTCTATTTTGAGTTCTTTGAGGATTCTCCATACTTCTTTCCAAAGAGGCTATATTAGTTTGTAACCCCAGCAACAGTGTAAAGTGTTCCCTTCTCTGCATACCTGCACTGTTGTCTGCAGGTTTGGGACTTTGTAATGCAGGCTAACATGTTTTGAACAAATAGAAAAAGTCCTAAAATTCATGTGCCATCTAAAGGAACTACAATTAGCCTAAACAATCGTGAGAAAGAATAAAGTTGGAGGGTTCACAGTTCCTGATTTCAAAACTTCCTACAAAGCTACAGCAATAACACAGTGTGGTACTGGCATAAGGGCAAACATACAGACCAGCAGAAGACAGCAAAAAGCCCAGAATATGACCCTCACATAGAAGGTCAA